AATAATCTTAAAAAAAATAAAATAAATATAAGTATTAATTAACTGATAAAATCTGACATAAACAGATATTTCTGTTGTAATTTGCTTCTTTATTTATTTACCTTTGTATTCTTTCCCTGATTTATTTAGTTTTCTCATTTATTTATTTATGTTAATCTGAAAATGTATTTATTTATTTTTATATGTATTATTTTATTTATTTAAAATGTAGTTTGATATTAATTCATTTTTAGATTTATGCATTTCTTTATTTTGACACGAGCAGCAGTCGTCAGTGATCTCTCATTTTAGATTTCTTGGATCAAAGACTCGCTGCAGGATCTTTTTTTATCTCAGCAGCTACAAACAGGAAACCAGCGTGGCGGCGTTTGGAGCATCGTCTCAGAGCTTCCTGTGTGTTCGGACCTGCAGGGCGGTGAAACAACATCAGCAGCCTCGACACACAGAATCAGACTGATGACGCATGACGAGGGAAGAAACGGCCGACTTCAGACACAAAATCATTCATCAGCTGTAAACTTCCTGCGGTGAAGCTGCAGAGAGAAGATCGTCCTCCAACATTAAATATAGACGAGGTCAGATTACAGATTATCAGTCTGTGTCTTTAACTGAATGTGTGTTGGACAGGATTCAATAATCAGATTATTGATCAAACTGAGTGTTTGACTCGTCACAGTGATCATCAGTGAACTGATCAACCAATCCATCGATCACTGACAGGAAACAGGAAGCAGACCGCAGCCTGTTAGTCAGAGCGGTGGGCGGGGCTGAGGACGATCAATCACTCATCAATAACTCAGACTACAACACACACACACACACACACACACACACACACACACACACACAGAGCTCCTTTTCACCAGAGTAATGAGAAATACATTCGCCGTCCTGTCTGTGCTTTTGTTTGTTTGTTTGTTTATGTACTGGAGCTCCTGAGGAGTCCTGACAGACAGAAACATGAGAACACGCTCTGTGATGAGATGTTCACTGATGATTCATTAATTATTCATCAATAATCAGACGCGTCAGATTCACTAACTTCTCTTACAGAAACATTTCAAAGCTGAACAGAGAGAATCTGAAAATCTAATTGTTGAGTCTCTGCAGCAGAAAAACTTGTTGCCACATGACGGCATGTTTTTGCTCAAGAGGCAGAAAACCTACAACTCCCAGAATGCACTGCACCACACCAGACCGATAAACACTCCACCTGGTGGCTGACGTGATGCAAACTCGTCGGTTTGACACGACGGTGGCCGGCTGGTAACAAACGATGTCATATCACAGTTAAACAGGAAGTTAAAACCTGTTTCTGAAAACATCTGAGACTCAGTGTTGGTTCATATTTGATCGCAGCTGCTCAGTTTGACCGTCTGATCAGTAGCTCCTTTTACACTGCCAGATGTTCGGCGAATGTTGGGCCGTTTTGCCAGCAAGCTGCGAGCGTTTAGACACACAGAGCCGGATTGGCGAGTTGATCCGAGGTGCCCAGTTTTCCACCTCGTAGGGTAGACATATTGGTGGAACCCTTTTGGTTATAACAGAGTGAGGCGGCCTTCCACAAATGGAGGAGCTGTTGATGACTTGTGGGAGGAGCTGTTGATGACGCCACACGTGCGAGCCACTGGCAGTGGATAAACAGGAAACAGCTGATAGCAGGAATTAGCGAGCAGCTAGTAGCAAGAGGGAAACACAAACCTGACAGACTCTGTAAAGATGAGCAACTGGGGAGACAAGGAATTGAGCGCCCTCCTTGTCCTCGCAAACGAAGAGGCCAATAACCATCAGATGAAGGGGACGGTGAAGAACGGGCCGACTTAAGAGAGAATCACCAAAGGACTGACCAGCCGCGGCTTCCCTCCCACGTCACTGTTAACGTCACACACTGAGCTACAAGTTATGTTACTTGCTCACGCCCCACATTGCCCCGAAAAAGGCACATTCTGTATAAACAAAAGTAGGTAGGCGGCATTTTGCTGCACTCCCAGATTTTGTTTTTATACTGCCAATGCTGAAAAAAGACTGATTGGGCTTTCCTGCAAATTTGCACAACTCCTGTTTATAAAGGACTTCAGTTTGGTCCGAAGTGTCTCTTGATCCACTCTTCGTGTCTGCGGTGCTGAACAACACCAACATGCAGTCTGAGCAACAACCTGAGAGCCAACGAAAGCGTTGACCAGCAGAGATCTCCTTCCTCCTCCGCCTGCTGTTTCATCATCGTTACAGTTTGATGGAGGGACGTTACCGACACTGTGTTGATACAGAGCTGGTTGAAAATCAGAGAGCTGTTAAATAAAGTTTGTTATTTAAAGTTAATGTTATGGCAAAGAAAGACTGAAAAATGGATTTACTTGAGTTAATAATTTGGACTTTTGTCATTTTATTATTATTAATTTATTTATATTTTATAAACAACTGACAGTCCAAAACACGAAACGAAAATGAAAAAATTTAAATTATTATTTTTTAATTAAATCATAAAATTATTTAAAGGAAAAATATCAAGTTACCTAAGTTTTCAAAAAACTGTAGTTGATTGATTGATTGATTGATTGATTGATTCAGCTGAACTCTTATAAACTGTTTTAATGACATTTAAAAAACATGAGGAGGAGAGCTGCTCCAGCAGAGACAGAGTTTATAAAGAAACCAATCAATAAATGAATCATTGTGTGTGTGTGTGTGTGTGTGTGTGTGTGTGTGTGTGTAGGCAGCAGTGTTACTCACTGATGATGACGTGTGTGATGACGAAGGCGAAGATGAAGATGGTGAGGAAGGACAGCGAGAGGATGAACAGGTAGAAGAAGCGATAGTTCCTCCGTCCGACACAGTTCCCGACCCACGGACAGTGATGGTCGAAACGCTCTGACACACACACACACACACACACACATTAATACTGTCAGAGTAACAACTCAGGTGTTCATGTTGTACTGTGAGTACTCAGATACTTTACTGCAGTGAAAGTACTGTGAAAATACTTAAACTACTACAAGTTAAAGTCCTGAATTCAAAACGTTAAAACTACTGTCAGCAGGAAACGATTTACCTGAGATGGAGAGTACAGTAATACTAGAGTACAGTAATACTAGAGTACAGTAATACTAGAGTACAGTATGAGTAAGTTGAATAGATAGGTTGAATCAGAGTACTTGAGTACAAGTACTTGAGTAAATGTACTTTAGTAGATGTACTTGAGTTAGAATCCTTGAGCAGAGGTACTTGAATCAGAGTACTCGAGTAGATGTACTTGGGTAGAAGTACTCAAGTAGAAGTACTGGCGTAGAAATACTCATATAGAAGTACTTGAGTAGACGTACTTGAATCAGAATACTCAAGTAGATGTACTTGTATTAGAGTACTGGAGTAAATGTACTGGAGTAGCGGTACTGACCGACACAGTTGTCACACAGGCTGCAGTGCGACGCTCGCGGCGGTCTGAAGATCTTACAGGTGAAGCAGTATTTCAGTTTGACCGTCTGTCCGTTGATCAGAACCTCTCTGGTGCGAGGAGGCGGTCTGGAGCAGCCGGCTGAGTCTGAGGACACACAAACAAACCAACAAGTAAACAAACAAACACCAGTGGATCGGTCCTGTCTGAGGTCACAACGCTCCTCTGAAGTAAAACTGTTTTCAGTTTGTTTCCTCAAAGCACCAACAAAACAGTTTGATTTTATTTAACTGAATTATTTGAATTGAATTGAATCAAATATTTGTGAAAACACTGGCGTCATGTGATCAGCTGATTCATCATGTGACACAGAGACAGACACAACTCCAAAACCTTCTGACAGAAATAAAAACATACAGAATTTAGTTCAGCTGCGCGTTAATTAAACGAGTCGACTCACTGAACAACGACTAATGATTTCCTCTGACTCCCCTTCAAAATAAAAGACTTCTATATCCTTCAGTATCTATGAGCTTCATCCAGCTCAGGTTTTATGTATTTTCTCCCCAAATATGTTCATTATTAATGAGGTCTGATCTTTATATTGAAACTGTGAAAATTAATTTAAGAAATAAAAGAATAAATAAAAAATATAATAAATAACTTACTTAACAAGTTTAATAAAATAAAAAATAATATTTTGTGACCAACATTAATCTACAGATTCATGTTGAATTATTTCCTCTGTGATGTCACTGACATGAATCTCACTGTCAAGGTTTCATGCCTCCGCGCTGGCGACAGCCGAGACCTGAGGCGTAACGTTTCTAGGAGGTCCGTCCGTCTCGTCGTCTCATTCTCATGAACAGGATATCTGAAGAATGCTGCGAGAGAATTTCTTTAAATTTGGCACAAACGTCCACTTGGACTGAAGAATAAACTGGTTGTAATTTGGTGGTCAAAGGTCAAAAGGGTGGGCTGGTGGGCGGAGTCATACAACTGTGATCAAACCTCCAGAAGACGTTTCAGCTTCTGCTGCTGAAACTAAACAATTGAACATCAATAAGTCAGTTATTGATCTATAAATATTGATCAGAGGAGCTTTAACGTCTGATCTGTGACACGTTCTTCATGTCACACATCAGACATCTTGCTTGAGTTTAGTTTAGTGAAACAGGAAGTGAGGATGTTGTTTCAGGCTGTGCATCACAGAATAAATTCCTGACCAAACAAAACAAATAACTATTTCTGTCCTGTCACACTGAGCCCAGCTTCCTCTTCTTCTTCTCCATTATTGGTCGTCCTCCAAAGGCCCCACTCTGCTGTGATTGACAGCTCAGTCGCTCCACAGATCCTGGATCCACCGTCAAAATAAATAAATAAATAAATAAATAAATAATAACAAGAGGTTTCTGACAGTGACGTTCAGTTTCTGTGGAAACGACTGATTCAAGACACATTTCTGACAGAGCGCAGGTCTGACGACAGACACACACACACACACACACACAGAGTGAGGGGAGGAGGTGGCTAACAGCTTCCTGTAATGACTCAGTATCATTAGAGAGCAGATTATTCTGCAGCTGATTTTCAGATGTTGAATCTGACTGATCGAGTGTTTGGATGATAAACGACAGGAAGTCGTCACGGAAGCTGATGAAAACTGTGGTAACAGCAGTAAAACTAACCTTTAACAACGACAGGAAGTTCATGAGTTTTACTTTGAAACATCAGAATGACAGAGTGGAGCATCTTCCTCCAATAAAACATCTTTGGACACGGAGATGGAGCGTCAGTACAAAGTGACGTCACATTGTTTCTCTGCAAAGTCATAAACTGCTTTATGTAGTAAACTAGAGTCACTGGTGGGTGGAGTCCACCCCTATGACTCCACCCACCAGTCCACACCATGGTTGTATGACTCCACCCACCAGTCCACACCATGGTTGTATGACTCCGCCCACCAGTCCACCCTGTGGTTGTATGACTCCACCCACCAGTCCACCCTGTGGTTTTATGAGCAGCTGACGTTACTCTGAGTCAAAAAGTGAGTGAAAGAGTGAAAACACAGACACTTGACGCCAAGTCATGCTGATAAAGTAGTTGTCATGGAGTCAGTGATTAAAGGTCTCAGGTATTTTCACTCTTCTCTGTTTCTGTTGTTTTAAAAACTCTGTGAAGTCAGATCAAGTTGATTTGACGACTGACATGTTTACTGTAATGTTAAAAAAAACAAAAACACATAAGTTTTAAGGTCCAGGGCGTATCTGTGTGTATGTTTGTGTGTGTTTCCATGGTTACCGATTTGCCTCTCCAGGTCGGCAGCCTCATCCGGCGTGGCTCGGGGCAGGACGCCAGGGTCGGTGAAACTTGCCCTGAACAGCATCCCCATCACGAAGATGAAGAGGATGCCGCCCACCGCAGGGATGGCTGGGGTCAGGTTGGACGCCAGGAAGGGACAGCTGAGGACAAGTCAAAACAAAGTGAAGCTGTCAGCCAATCACAGGAGGTCTTTTCAGGACGCACAAAACACCGCAGGGTTTCACCTCCGAGGACGTTCCTGCAAACACTTCATAACTCTTCAAAGATCAAAGGAACCATCAGTGATTCGTTTAAAACAGTTAAACTTGAATTTTATTCTGTTTTTAAAACGTTTTCTGTTGAATGAGTTCATCACTACAACAGGACATCTGACTCTTTTCAGGCCAAAGACAATTTGTTTTTTTAATTGTTTATTTTAGCTTCAGCTGTTTCAGTATTTCAGGGACGTAAATGTGGTTTTTATCTGCATATTTATGAAGGTAGATTCTTATAGTTCTGTATACTTTGTGCCAACAGAAACATGTAAATGTTAAATAAAAGAGGCCCGAGGGTTGAGCCTTGGGGCACTCCACACATCATGTTTGTCCTTTCAGAGCATTTTTGCCAAATAATGTATTAAGATAACTTCAGATGGATGTTAGATTTAAAGCATTTGTTCCTAACTTATCCAGGACAGAGACAAACTTCTCTTTTATTCAACATGAACATGTTTAATTACACCACATTGTACAGAGCATCTCTTGAGTGTGAAGCTCTCAGCCGCTGTAAAAGTTTTTTTAAATGTTGACTGTCAATGTTCAACTCTGAGTCCAAGATTGTGTGTCTTTGTTTTAAATTAAAAACAGTTAAATTAGTTTTTAATTACTTATCTGTTTCAGTATCTCAGCGATCTCTGTGGGTCTGCAAAAAATAAATAAATAAATAATAGATAAAATAAAATTTAATAAAATCAAGCTTAACAAATGAAAACCTGCTTCTTTTAAAAATTATATTAAAGATTTATTAAAAAAAAGAAAAAAGAAAAAAAGAAGTAATAACCATGAGGTTTGGACTGCTGGTTGGATGATGTAGTTCGTAAAATTTAAAAAAAATACCATTTGTTGTAAGTAGCAGAAGTAAATGTTGTTTTTTTGCAGAATGTGATTATTAATACAAAATATAATTAACCCATAAATTAGTAATAACATTAAACAACCCTGCTGTAGGATTCACCTTAAGCAGAACACAAACCCCCATCACGCAATATGCTTCACTCCTGAACCAGAAGCCAGCACAGCAGATCAAAGATCAAAGTTTAATATGTTATGAGTGCTTTCATAATCTGCTAAGAAAACTACTCAGACACATTTACACATCTGGAGCTAGGCTCACCGGGGGGAACCACCCAAAGACACTGCCCCTAAGGACTGGACATCTCCCCTGATTCGCCAGGCGCCTCTGAGCAACTCCGGCCCCCATTTTCCCTATAAATGAACTCCCATGAGACACTGAAGTTGGTCAATTTTTGGACAAGAAACCCATTCTGTTTTCTCCTAGCTTGGACCAATCTCAACAGCTTCATCTCTGCAGCTCCAACTTGGACTCAGGCCTCTCTAAAGCTGCAACCGCAGCTCACAGGAATTGCAGGTATAACTTCTTTTCTGCTAAATCGGGTGAATGTCAGAAAACGAGACCAAACTTCGGTCCTGAATTCCCCGCCACAACTGCTGTTATCTGGGAAGGTCACTAGTTCCTTGGTTTCTGTTGCACGTGTTTGCTGTTAACTCCAGCTCACATTCATCTTAACTGTTTTGTTGTAAGTGTATTAGTGTAGTGTTGTGTTTTTCGTGTGTAGAAAAGCCCGTCTTTTGTTTTCTATAGCTTGCATTCAGACACTTTACGTCTCTGAGCCTGTTGTGTTTTACTGTTTAAATTTAATTAGTCCCTAAAGGTCATAATTCTAGCATCACAGTTACTTTGGCTGATCACCAATAGAAGTTGTGTTAGTGTTGTTAAGTTAACTCTGAAGCTATCTTGGTGGACAAATAGTTAAAACTGGGTTTTCATTGCAATGCTGATCTGTGCTGAATTATAATTTTAAAATAAGAGCTAATTTTTCTTACACTGCAGTGTATGAATAAGCCTCACATCAGATTTGGTGGTCAAGTGAATAAATGTTCTTTAATCTACATTTGTTTTTAAGTGCTCCTGTTGGTTTGAAATGATTTTATGATTCTGAATATTTGTTTTTATTTTTCACCCATAAAACAGAACTTAAAATCACCACGTGGTTTTTCCCTCGACAGCGACGCCTTCCTGTGGTAAACTGAGTCCTGGGTTCACCTCTGCATCCCTGCTCTCAATCTCCTGCTGTTACCTTAGTGACACGAGCTGCAGGAGACGGTTACCGTGGAAACGGGAAACACCGGGTTGCTGTGTTTTGGAAGTTGCAGCGAGGAATGTGGGAGGAAAAAATAAAAAGAAACCCTTCAGACGTCAGAGTCTGTTTTCAGCCTCACTGTGACATTTAAGGACAGAAAAAACACAATAAGTTGATTCATCTGTAAAGTAAATAATAATTACGTGTTTAAAATATCAGATTTACTGTTTTTTATCTATAATTTTATGATAACATGTCATTTATTTTCCATTTGCTTCATTAAATGTCAAAACAAAAAACATCCATGAAAAGCTCAGTGACGACGTTTTTAGTTTACTGAGATATGAAACAACAGAACAAATTACCTGGAGAAGATTTAAATATTTATATTTCATATTTATAATTCTCTGTGTTTTGTATGGCTTGTTTTTATCTTTTACTGAGGAGGATTCCTCATGTGTGGAAAATATCATGACACTGAACTTGATTCTGAACAATTAAATACGGTTTAACGATCAAACCTTTGATTCATTTTCTGGTGACTGACAAAATGTTTTAACATTACTATCTCTGATCTTCCACAGTGAATGTATGTTCTTCTTGTTTCTTACAGACGAGCAGGAGAACACAGTTTGGGACCAGTCTGTTTGGGTCCAGTCTGTTTGGGTCCAGTCTGTTTGGGACCAGTCTGTTTGGGTCCAGTCTGTTTAGGTCCAGTCTGTTTAGGTCCTGTCTGTTTGGGTCCAGTCTGTTTGGGTCCAGTCTGTTTGGGTCCTGTCTGTTTGGG